GGTCATTCCAGTCTCCCGTACCTTTGTCACTTATATTCGCCTACCAAGACGAGAAATATCGATTTGCTGACTGTATTACCCATCGCTTATTCCTCGATCTCATTCCTCTTCTGCCAAAGAAAGTGAACAGATTTCAAGAAATGTCCATAGATACTTATAACTTAAGCTCGCCCTTCAGGAGACAGAAGGAAAGATTTAGATAGTGCTCACATTTTCGTGTTAGCCAGCAGTTTTCCTTCAGGTTCATAAAGTCAGAAGCAGAATTATTTGTTCTAAACCGGTCTCTTCCAGGAGTTTTAAAACGGTCGCTAATGCGGTCGAGGTGATTAACTCATTGATGTACAGGGTAACCCCTCACAGAACAAATCACATTCCAAACTCCTTAAATGTGTGAGAGTATAAGTGAGCATTCGCAAGCCCTGTATGGTAAAATTAACGCATGCGCCTTGACAACCTCCTCGCAGTTTCCACCCAGCCTGTTGACAGTGGGACCATTTTGTGAAGGTCAATAGTGCACAGTAGTTGACTACTGAATTAAATGCGCGTGCTTCTCAAAATATCCAGCATTAGCAATATTTAATACGTAAAGGAAGCAATTGGTACATCTGCAGATTTTGATAGAACTGTCCTTCAGAAGAAGAGGATGCGATCTCTGGAACACGAGTTTTATTTCCCAGACGTTTCGGATTCCCTCGGGAATCCTAAATCATAGGTGATGGTAACATATTCATGGTCATGCGCAGATGGGGTGGAGACATGCACAGGTTGTACAGTATTTATAGTTCATGATGGTCATCCGCGTGTATGTGATAATTGCTTACTACTGTAACCACCGCTTGGGTCTTAATTGAAGCGGTACTGGCTTGACACTTCGCGTTCGACTCACTAATTGCCACAATTGCCCTGTCAGCGTCGGATGGGAGCCTGATAATTGCGTAAAAATTATGCCCGCTGTCGTCAGAGTTGTTGCTGCGCCCAGCCCTTCCCACGTGACTGATTCTCTGCTGAGAAAACTTCTCAGTACACCGTATGGGAAAGCCAAATCGTTGCGCTTGTTGATGGACTGGGTGCTTCTAGCATCCACACATAAGTAACCAGGGTATAACTGGCAGAACTGTCCTTGTGAAGAAGATCGATGGTGTTAAATTTTACTTATGTACATCGAACTAGCCAAGGCATCGAAAAATGAGTTGATGAGATTTTAATTATGTAAAGCTCAATACAACTAAAAACAGGGTAGACAAACGAAAAACTATGACACAATAATGAGCAAACAAAAATGCGGTCCACCATTACTCTATAAAGACCATAATACAATTTTTGCTCTATTGCAGTGTTTTCTAGAATTGCTTGCAGTCCTTTTTATTAACACAACGGCAGGACTATTACAAGGACTAAATACGTGTTATTCCCGGCTGAACAAGTTTGAAATTTGTTTGTGCACCGATCACTGTTATAAAAAGTTTGAAATTCTCCACGACCCTTTTTACAGCAAAACTCCAGTCCGACCTACAAATGATGGTTTACCTATTACGACGGTTGTTCTCCTTTCTGTGAACCGCGTGTCTCTGTCCCCTTCCTCACTCAAATGTTGGCCGCCACCCGTGTTTATCCTTGTCTATCGATTACACGCGACTGAATACTGCATCCAGCCCCCGGTTCGGCTCCCTGGCTTGTTATCACATTTTCCCACGATGCTATCGGCCACCTCGTTGACGCCAGATACAGTCGTTTCGACTCCCGGAAACTAAATCCCGTGAAGTGACTTCCCAGTGGAGAGCCAGCTGTCCGTTCGCCTCCCC